CCCAGGTGTCTCTGTTGTCAGTGGATGAGATGTACGATCTGGTTCCTCTGGTTGAGATAGATAAATACTGGGATGAATCTGAACCTCAGCCGCCTTACACAGCTGCCAGCGCAGAACACCGCAAACCCTCATTTAAGGGATCTGCTTTGGACATCAGGTGACACACATCCTCACACACACACACACACACACACACACACACACACACACACACACACTTAAACCCACCGATGTACAGCTACAGCACACACATGCACATTTTGGGTGCACAAACAAAATTCAGTCAAAACATGCTTCAGATTTTTATAAAAAAATATTTTGTAGATTCTCTTGACTCTATAGCCAGTAAAAGTGGCATGAAAAATAACTTCTTTTTTTTTTTACTTCTGTAATGTGACATTTCTAAGTGAAACAGGATATTCAGCTGCAAAGATAAACCCCCTCTATATGTAGTGTGTTAACAAGTAAATAAAGGTTAAATAATGATGATCTGGGTTTTTTAAAACAATACCAGATACTGATAACAGTAATTGTAATTTAATTTATTTCTTTTTCTTATTTAAGGCAGCACATGTGATTAGGGCAAAAAATTCACTGATTGATTAGTACATTACGACAATTTATTTGTATTACATGGTTTCTAAAATGTTATGTTTAAATAAATAGTTAAAGGGATAGTTCACCGAAAAAATGAAAATTCTGTCATTAATTACTCACACTCATGTCGTTCCAAACCTGTAAGATCTTTGTTCAGCTACGGAACACAAATTAAGATATTTTTTTAATGAAATCTGAGAGCTCTCTGACCCTGTATTGACAGCAACGCAACTGAATTGTTCCTAGGCCCAGAAAAGTAGTAAGGACATCGTTAAAATAGTCCATGTGACATCAGAGGTTCAACCTTAATTTTACGAAGCTACGAGAATACTTTTTGTGTGCAAAGAAAGCAAAAATAACGACTTTATTCAACAATTCTTCTCCCCGAGTTACCGTCTTCCGCTATTATGGAGAGTACCACGACACATGCGTGTATGTTCTAGAGCCCTGCATGGGCCTCAAATATAGGCCCTAGCCCGGCCCTGGCCCGAGACGCTCAGGCCCTAGCCCGGCTTTTGTCCGACAGCTTATCAGAATTACAGGCCCGAGCCCGACCCGACGGGCTTGCAGACCTCTAGTATGTTCCTCTGCATGTAAACAACACATGCGCGTGGTGCTGCTGACGTGCTGCTGCTGTTGTTTATGTGCAGAGGAAGGAATGTACACGAATGCGTTGTGGTACTCTCCATAATGGCGGAATACGGTAAACATTTTCAGTGTTTTGAGGAATTTTATATTATAAATTGTATGTTATATAAATCAGATGAATGATATATGAACAAACCTCTCTGTAAAAACCTTCAGAATATATATTGGAATAAAACCGTTTGGTGTACATAAATGTTGCTTAATTGGAGAAAAACTCATTTTGAGAAAACTGCCTTTAAAGATATGTATTATAATGAAAATCTACAGATGTAAAATTGGTAAAGTGTAATAAAATAATCAAAAACATAAATGACAAACAACAAGCGCTACTCTACACTGCTCAAAACTCACGTTTGAATAGTCAGTGGCAAATTCTTTAAATATGAAATACTTACAGGCTGTGAGTCAGAACAGCCGGCATTGTAGTCTACTCTCCCAAGAAACAGTCCTCCATAAAATGCGTCGTACACACTCGAATATTTGTTCTGAACTGTTCTGGAACAGTGTTGTTAATACAACTTAACCACTGATTTCTAGTCCTCTTTTGGAAGGCCAAACAAAGTATGTTCACTTTCACAACGAAACACAGCGTCTCCACAACATGGCGGCAGCAGCAACAATACTACAGCGAGAATCAATGTTACGCCTTCTTTCTTTGCGTAAACATTTGGGCGGCGTTATGCAAATCTTCCCCCATAGTGACATAGACATGTGGGGGCGTGTTAGAACGAGCCGTTTTAGGAGGGCGTGGACGAGTCTTAACTTTTATAAAGAATATCTCTTTGGTTTTGAGACTTTAATCTTTGCAACTTTAGGGATCTTATCTATTCACGAACAGCTTGTAACACTCCAAAGAGAAAGGAAAACTTGAAATCACATCATATGACCCCTTTAATAGAAATAGAACTGTCAAAAAAGTCAATTTTTATTTCATGGTGACTTTTAACCAAGTTGCATAGATCAGTAAAAATGAGCCTGGCAATATTTAAAAATTTAAAAGCACATTTTGTCTAACATAATCAAGGTCATCGTTCTCTCTCTGTCTCTCAGCGTTCCCAAAGAGGAAATGGAATTCCAGCACAATCTGGAGCAGATTAAAGAACACGAGGAAGCCAGTCATTCCATATTTCTAGGCAGTTTGAGTTGCATTCTGGGCGTCCAGTCGCCCAATTTGCCCTGCTCTATGCCCACATCCCGAGTCTCCCTCCTGCGGCGACGTTCCTGCGCCCCCTTCTCTTGCTTCCCCCTTTACCTCTATCCCGAGAGCTCTCCGAAGCCCAGACACGTCCGGAACGCTGAGATGGAGGATGTATTCTCATTCATGCCTCTATACAAAAGACCCGGTTTCTACAGTTGCCCTCAGACGCCCATCCACTGCATCCCTCCGTCCATTCCTCGCCCAAGACCACGAAGAGCGCATGGCTCCAACTCCCTGGCGCATCCGTTGATGGGCTCGCAAGTCCTGGCTCCGCCTGACACGCCCGCGGCTCCTTCCTCCGCCTTCCCTTGGGTGGGTGAAGACAGCGAACATTCGGGTCCCACTTTCTCCTTTCCAGACCCTGTGCCCGAGCTGTTACCCAAAGTATGGCAGAGTCAAGGGTTGCCGTCGCACCACCCCCTGCCTCTGCGACTCTCTTTGGAGACATCCCCATCTCTGTCTACACCCGAAAGGGTGTTTTCTTTCACTCCTCCAACTTGGTCGCAAGCTCAAATCAATACCGCCAGTTCAGGGAGTGTGAACGCAGCTGCGACTTCAAACAGCAACAACAACCTATGCAACGGCATGACAAACAACCCCATGCCAATCAGCAGAAGCACCACTGCAAGCACAGCCAATCCCGTCAGCCCAAGCCCCACAGTGACTCAGCAGACAGCCAATCAGCACAACTCTGCCAACGACTCTGGCATCTCATTGGCTGAGGGGGATCTGTTGGGTGCTGCGATGAAAAAGAAGGAACAGCTCTGAGTTAGGTGGAAAATACCAGCTTAGACCAGCATGGATTCTCTTCCAGACTGGTTTAGAGCTGGTCTAGCATGTTTTGCCTACATTTAAGACATTTTAAGAAACCTCAGTAGCGGAAGTCATCATAGCTGGGTAAACTTCTGCAACGGTGAACAGAAAATCCCATTTGCCCCAACAGCAAAAGAAAAAAAAATCCCCGGTAGACTTTCTGACATTCTAAAAGAGGAAAAAAATATTGAGAGATTGATTATGTTGAGAAGTGAGAAAGATGTTAAATTGCCATCACTCCCTTAGCTGTTGTATTAGAAACACTCATGCAGAAACTAGTTTTAAGTTAATGGCAAGGTAATAAAAAACAAAGTAAAAGCATAGTGCTTTTTTACTAAATATTAACATTTTAGACACGCCATCATAGTCTGTAAAAAGGGTGACATGCATAAGTTGATAAATTCCATCAATCAAACGGATAATTTGACATGGTTTCCAGTCATTATTATTTTTTTTTTATTATGTTATTATTTTTTATTATGCTGTACAGTATGTGGGTGGAGACAGGTGAAATCACTTGAACTTCTCCGTCTTGTCTATGTAACTCAGTGGTCATGTGATCTCCACTGTCACTCTCATTGATAGTTTCCATTTGCATAAACATTGTTGCAGAATATCTAAAAATATGTATTTTTTAGATTATAAAACCAAATTGTATAAAAAAGAGAAGGTCCAGATCCACACAGAGATCCATTCCAAACAGCCACTGGTGCAGAACAAACCTCTCAAACACAATGCATCATGGGACTGTAACAGAATTAAACGGTTTTGTACCAACCTGTGCACTTTACACTGATTATTAATTTTCATAATGAGATGAAAAGAGGGTAAAATCAAAGCCCTGTTTATTTTGGCTTGATTTTACTGCGGAATATTTATAGTCAGCATGCAAATGTTGAACATGTTTGACTTTATTATTTTTGCCACTTAGAAGGTATATAAACATGCATTTCTTCTTTATTTGTATGTATTAAGAGTAGGCATTATGGATACGTACCCAAAGGAAAACTAGCATATAGTTTTGTTTTGCAGTGCATTCAAATCTAGATTTTTTATTCATCTGTTCTTAAATAGTTTATATAAACTATAGGAATAGGAACCTTCTAGGCCTGTGTGATTAAGTGCTATTTTAGTATCATTAATATACTATTACAGTTTTTTATATTTTACATTTTAATTTTAGTTTAAGTTTTAGTAATTTTGTTGTGTTTTGGTCTAGATTTTTTTTCTGGCTCACTTTCACTTAAAAGCTTAAATAAATTCTGCATCTATTCTTAAATAATTTATATATCGGAATTTCCATGAATTTTCTAGGTCTGTGTGATTAATAAATCGCATATTAAGTGTTGTTCTAGTATCATAAATATTGTGCTATTATAGTTTTTAAAAATTTTGTATTTTTAATTTCCATTTTAATTTGACTACGATTTAGTAATTTGTGCTTTTGGTGTAGATTTTTATTTTGTGCTAACTCACTTTCACTTAGACAGGAAAAGCTTAATGAATTATGCATCTATTCTTAAACTTCATTCATCATTAATTATGCATGTCTGTTCTCAAATGTCTCTTGTTCTTTTTTAGTTACATCCTGCCAGTAAATATCTTAAAAAAATATATATATATATACACATACACACATATATATATATATACACACATACATACACACACACATGTATTTATATATACATACATATATATATATAGGAACTCAATTCATAAGAACATAAAAAAAGACCAACAATTTTGCTAGTATTATTTTTTTATTGAGATCAACACATTTGAATGATTTCATATAGAATATTGCGTATAATGTGGACTATATCAACTGTATGGCTTATAAAGGGTTCAGGCAGGATCTCTAGTAAACTACAGCAGAGTTTGCAACACGTCTGTCTGACACTCATATGGCATGACATGCTTGGCGGACTGACTGCATCATAAACACAGAGAGAGATTGTCTAAGAGCTTTCCTTTCCCAGAGTGTGCTTGTCAAACAGATATTCGGCCATGCCGTTCTGAGGGGCACCCATCCGCCGCAGGCTGCTCACCCAGTCCGCCAGCTCTTTAATGGACTTCACCTGCTCGTCCAGGTAATGCGTCTCCAGGAAATCACAAACCTGTGACAGAAAGATTCAGAAATACAGAGACAGCTTTTCCCTTTTTGGGTGAAATGACCTTTGTGACCTTTTTGGTTGCTTCACCACTAACAATCAGTTACAGTAATTACATTTTAATTCATAGTTTCTACATAAAAACTCTCGATCTGATCTAGGGTCAGTTTTGCCTTTCATGTTCTTATGAATGAGATTTCATAGACAGATCTGATCCGAAACTAGCACTCTTGAGCTCAAACCCTCCAAATTGGAGATGAAACAACTGAACGGATGAATTATGTGTCTATTTCCAGCCCACTGGAGGCATTCTGGGTAACTCCCAAAAGAAAAACTGACAGACAAAGCCTGTAGTCGCACCTCTTATGACTAGGTACCAAGGTATTACAGTATTGTTTTATATATAGTAATATCATAAGGGTTTTCAAACGTTCTGACTAACGAATTTCTTTATTACTTCATAATGATTTTTAAAATAATTTCTCACAAATAGAAATTTCTAGCCAATAAAATAGTTTGCATCTGAGCATAACTAGGAAATTCAGATTAACTTTAGGAATTGCCATGACTTTTCTATGCCTGTTTGATTAATAAATCACTTCAGTTTTAATTTAGCATTTATTTTTATCATTGCATCATTAATATACTATTATAGTTTTTTTTTCATAATTTGAATTAGTTTTTATTTTAATATTTTAAATGTTTCATGTTTATTTTAGTTTAAGCTTCAGTAATTTAGTTGTATGTTTTTGTCATTTTTAATAAGTGTAATAATATAGTTTTATTCATTCTTTTAGTACTTTAAAATAAATAAACTAGAAATGCTGACTTCAAATTGCAACTTAATGAGATTAAGTTTAATAATAAATAAGTTAAAGTTTTTTTTACATTATGTATTTTTTACATATTTTATATGTAAAGTCATGCCATTTTAAATGAGTGATTAACAGGGATTTCTTTATCTATAAAAACATTAAAAAACATTTTTGTTATTTGAAATAAATGTTAACTAAAAATACACAATCAATATTTTTTTTTTTACATATTTTAGTCAATGTTTATTTATAAATATCAAATAAAAAAGGTTTTAGCTACAGAAAAAAAATAATGTGTAATATTATTTTGCATGTACTTACATGTGGATCATTGTGTTGAGTTGCCACCTTGTGAAGCTCCAGTAAGGACAGATTTACACTCTTTTCCAGAGCCAGAGCACATTCCAGCGCTTCCAGACCACTGCCCCACTCATCCCGATCCGGCTTCTGCACGCACACGCGCACACACACACACACACACACACACACACACACACACACACACACACATACACGACAAATGCTCATTTACTCCATTCATTGCACATTAGAGAGACAGCGCTGTCCCATACCTTGATGTCCTGCAGGTAGATCCGTCCTCCTCTTTGGTTCTGCAGACTCATCAGCTTCTCCGCATGTTCTCGCTCCTCCTTAGACTGCTCGCGGAAAAACTTGGCAAAGTTGGGCAAAGACTTGTCATCCCTGTCAAAATAATACCCCTGGAGAGAAGAACAGTCAACCATCAACCCTTATAAAACCACCGAAGACAATTCATTCTATTAATACAGAGCTCTAGCGATCAGTCATGTAATAAATGCCTGCTCTCACCATGGACAGGTAGACATAAGAGGCGTAGAGCTCCAGGTAAATCTGTCTGTTAATGGCTGCCTCACACTCCTGATGGAAGCTCTGCCTCACCTGAGAACTCATGATTCTGAAACACACATCATTCAAACATAACACCTCAAAATTGTAACAGTATATATATATATATATGTAATAATATTGGTTTTGTAACTTGTAAATAAACACACACACACACTCAAACTCAAACTCACACACACACACTCACACACACTCAAACTCACACAAACACACTCACACACACACACACACACTCAAACTCACACACACACACTCATACTCACACACACACACTCAAACTCACACACACACACTCACACACACTCAAACTCACACAAACACACTCACACACACACACACACACTCAAACTCACACACACACACTCACACACACTCAAACTCACACACTCACACACACTCAAACTCACACACACACACACACACACACACA